TAGGTTGTTTTTCCTTTTACTTTCTCTTCATTTCTTTTCTTTGTTTTTTGTTTTGTTTTCAGTTTGTTCCGTTCTTTCTTCAGCCGCGAGAAATTGTCGGGGTTGAGGGGGGGGGGGGGGGGATTATTTAGATGATTTGCTTATGGATTATTTGTGGTCATTTACGTGATGAAGGGTATGCTGCGATGACGTGGGACCTTTGCTACTGTGGTGGGGATGTGTCTGTGTCGAGGTTTCTCAGGCATCGCGAAAGCAAGAGTTTGTGGGAGCGGGAGAAGTGGACGGTACCGTGTTTTTGGTTGTGCCGTGTACATTCTTTGCTCTCCCCTCTCTATGTTTCCATTTTACCGTTTTCCCTCTTTCTACGTCCACTCCTCCCCTCTCTGTCTCTCTCTCTCTCTCTCTCTCTCTCTCTCTCTCTCTCTCTCTCTCTCTCTCTCTCTCTCTCTCTCTCTCTCTCTCTCTCTCTCTCTCTCTCCTCCATATCCTCCTCCTCTTCTTCCTCCTCCTCCTCCTCCTCCTCCTCCTCCTCCTCCTCCTCCTCCTCCTCTTCCTCCTCCTCCCCACTCCCTCCGCCTCCCTTCCTCCCCTCTCACTCTTTTTTTCTCTCTCCCCTATGTGATATACGTGCCATGACTTGCCCTCCCCGTCTGTGTTAGAGCATGGCCGTCGATTTTGATAGCTGGAGCCGTGAAGAGGAGGGCGAGGATGCCGGCTTGAGGAGGGAGAAACTGCCCCATCCATTCTCATTTATTCATTCCTATTCGTGCCTCTCAATGCCCAACCATCCTCATCCATTTCTATCAATTCCTACCTATTCCCGCCCACTCCCTTATATCTCCGTCTATCTCGCTCATCCCCATCCTTTTGCACCCATTCGTAGCTATTCACATCCACGCTCCTACTTCCCCTTCTATCTCCCCTATCCCCATTCATCTGCTCCCACTCCTTCCCATTCCCCCCATCCACTCTCCAACATCCCCGTCTATCTCGTTCATTCCCATCCATCCGCATCCAATCCTTGTCTCTTCCCATCCACTCAGCTATAACCCCCTCTATCTCATCCATCCATCCATCCAAGAGTGAGGGAAAGGAGACGAGGGAAGAGGATAGAGGATACAGGTTTCTCATCCGATTACTCGCGGCTGTGGATTGATTTAGATTATCGAGGTAACCCGAATGTAGTGTGATGTTAACAAAAGAATCCTGGGATGTTATAGGTAGGTATGTATAGGTATACACATACAGTCACATACACACACTGACACACACTCGCACATGCACACACACAAACATGCACACACACGCACACACACGTATATATGTATGTTTATATGCATGCATGTATATATATATATATGTGTGTGTGTGTGTGTGTGTGTGTATATGTATATGTATATGTATGTATGTATGTATGTATGTATGTATGTATGTATGTATGTATGTATGTATGTATGTATGTATGTATGTATGTATGTATGTATGTATATATATATATATATATATATATATATATATATATATATATATATATATATATATATATATATATATGGGAGAGAGAGAGAGAGGGGGGGGGGCGATATTGCTGCTACTGCTTTTGTTGGACGGATGTTCGTCAGAATTTTGTTCCAGTATCCACGGAATTAGATTTTCCCGCGTCAGGTGTGGCCAGACATGTGTCCCCTTCCCCCCCTGTGCCCTCCTCCCCTACACCGCCTCTACCTCTATCTTTTTCTTTCTTTTATCTCTTTGTCTTCCCTCTTTTTACTGCCTCCCTTTACCATCTCCTTCCTTCTCCGTCCCCCACTACCTCTCTCTTTCCCCTTCTCCTTCCCTCTCATCCCCCACCATATCCCCATCCCCAATCCCCTTTTCCACTCTCCACCCCTTCCCCCTCCCCTTCCCCTCCCCCCTCCCCCTTACAGTAAACAAAGTTTGTGACTGAGGTTGTAATCAGAACCGACTGCTATCGAGTACAATCTAATTTACGCAGGATTCCCAATTAGAGTAATGGTTACGTAAGGTGTAATGTGCAGGAGAGGGAGAGGGAGAGCGAGAGGGAGAGGGCGAGGTAAGGGAGGGGAAATGAGAGAGAGGGGAGAGCTCGAGTTGGTGTTACGGACTGGGGGATAACAAAAGAGCAAATACAAATGAAAGTGAGGCTCAGGCAGGCAGGCAGGTAGGTAGGTGGGTAGGTAGGTAGGTAGGTAGGTACGTAGGTAGGTAGGTGCACAGGCACAAAGGCAGGCATAGAGGTAGGTAGGCAGACGATTTTCGGAGGGAATAAAAACATGTTGGTACTATTATTATTTCCCTTGTGTCCCTTTCTCTCTCCTCTTTCTATTCCTCTCATTCTCCTCTCTTCCTCCTTCCTTCCAGTTTGACTGCCATTATGTATATATGTATTTACATAAGTATGTGTATATTATATATTCTTTCGTTATATCTTGTCCAACTATTTGTCTGTCTGTCGATCTGCCTCTCTTCCTGTCTACCTATGTCTCTTGTCACCCAGAGCCGCATAGACTCGTCCTCGCAATCCGGGCTGCCAGATCCGAGGAGCGATGGGGA